AAACTCGTATACGATGATATAAGAAACATCGAGGCAGAAATTCCAAGTTATTTCAAATAAGGAAATTGAAAATTCCAAATTTTCGAAAATAAAAATTTCTTCTATTTTCACTGGTACAAGAACATTCACGAAGAAACGTAATCGAAATCGTGTAATACTTTCTTCACGAGCATGTGTGTCCTAACACTTACAAACGCCAGTGTGTAGACACGTTACACAGAAATGTTCGGTACAGTCACAATCGAGCAGGATTCTAATAAATTGAATATTATTGATTTTCGATGGCGAGTCACCCTGTCGGTAGGCAAATACCTACAGAAGAATTTCTCGTAAGCTTTTATATTAAATCATTCTGATTACAATTTGCGAGAATCCTTTTAAACGCAGAGTCTCGTCGGAGACTTTAATAACCGGTGACGATAAAAAAAATTCCGCTCCACAATTCTCGTCGACTCTCTTCTTCGCCGATGGAATTAATCGAATGGAACGTTATTGTTGAAAAAAAAAAAAAAAAGGAAAAAGGAACAACAAACTGAAGCAAAATGGAGGGGAAAAAACTGTGATCGACGGAGCTGAACTTCAAAGGCAAAATACAAATCAACGACTTTCGGTCTGACGAGTTTACGCAGCTTTTCAAATACGATACGAATTTTTTCCCCGGATAATTGCGTTTACGGTATTGTCGCGGTTCGAAAATCGTTCAGAAACGACGATTTTTTCCCCCTCTGTTCCAGTCGTTATTCAAAATTAAATCCTGTAAACATTCGCGATTCACAGCTGGCCCGCCATTGAACCGCGATAATTGGAAAGAAGCATTTTGTCTCGTTTCCGTTCGGCGAAAACAAGTCTCGCTCCCATCGAGTGGAAAATAATTTCCTCCAATCGAAACGTGAGGAAAAATAGAAGCAAAAATCAAACGTCTTTTTCCCCTCTTTTCCATTTACGTTACTCCTGATAAAGGATTACGTTTGACACAGCGTTCGCGTTGAAGAATCGCGACTCGATTATCAGATAATTAAACCGTCGGCAAAGAGTCGAACGAAACGCGATAGAATCGCGCCGGGGAGTTCTCCCCGATAAACCTTTTCGATTACCTAGAAAATCAATTTATTTATAAGCATTATTACGCGTACGCGCGCTCCGTAATCAGTTGAAATTAACAGGTTGAGCGGCTCGTTCGTTAATTATTTCGCCGTCTGTAATGCTAGCAGCCGTAGTAATAATAATAACGATCGCGATAATGTCGACTTTAATGCGATACCAGATCACAGTCACCGGTGTGTTCGTTACTCGTGTGCATGTGTCTGTGCAACGCGAATCAATAAGCACAGGTGAGGGAAAATAAGTGGAAAAGGTGGCTAGGATTTAATTCCTGGATAAATAAAGCGCGTGACCTTAGGCGAGAGAGAAAAAAAAAGGAAACCTTTGACTTAATACTACAGGAAAGAAAAAGGAAGGAAGAAACGTCTGCAAACTTTTTATTTAAAACTAGGTGAAGTAATTTATGGAGAGCGTCTAAAGACGAAGGGATCGTGGTAAAAATAAAGTTGCATGAGCGACGTGGTAACACAGGTAGATGGAATTAAAGAGCAGATAGAAAAAAAAACCAGCAGATAGAATTTATCAGGGAAATTCTCTCGTGTCAAGTTCACATTTTCCACCTCTGGCTTATCGATGTTTATAAATACCCGTTAAACCGGAGAGGCAGGTTGTACACGTCGGAGAATTTCAATGGCGTGTATGTATGTGCGTACACTACCGGCTAAAAGTATGGAATCACCTGTCAATTTTCATCAATACCGAAATCTTACTAATTCTTTGTAGATTTGAAATTGACGTTGCGGAGATCAGTCGCAGTTTATCTCATTTCGACGGATTGGAACGATAAAAAATTCTTAAAATTGCAAACTTTTTTCTGTAAATTTCTGCGTAACATGCAACGCACACAGTGATTCCAAACATTTGACCGGTAGTGTATGCATAAGGGATATCATTTGAACGGTGTACAAACGCAGTCTGCGAAACGGAGAGACTCAGGACGTTCTCCGCAGGAAGGAAGTCACTGATCACTATCCTAAGCGCCTCTTTCAGCCTCCTTCTACCTTCGCTGTCAGGACAATTTTTCCACGTTACACGCGTTCTCTGCTCTACATCACGATTTCTGCCGCCCGAGCTCTCGTATCGACGTGGTACCTCGTTCCCAAGTGTGCAGAAAACTTCAATGGGATTTCCTGAATTACTCCGACCTCCCATGTGCGTCTCCGTAGTAATATCCGATTTTAACTCATCGGAGAAACGTTAGGTCGTCGAACGAATTTTTTTCAACACTTTTTTCCATTACGAACAATTCTCCGGTATATATTTTCGTAACAGTCGAACTCGAAGATCAAACAGAAATTCTTTTTATAGCTCCGCTGTTTGCACGGTTTTTAAAAGCGTTCCTCCCGATAAAAATAACAGGCTTCTGCTCGATATTTGCCCAAACGCCTGCAAGGTATCGAATCCGTTTCGCAAATATTATCCGCTGTGCGAGAACTCCGCTCAAAGTCTGCCGAATGAAAATACAGCTGCGCGCTACTTTAATTACTCGAGATTGTTGATTGTCATTTCTCGTATATTTTGTATCTCGTCGATATGTATACAGGGGCAAGGTCGCTGTTTAATAACACTCGAAATACGCGTAAATGAATTTCCAGGCTGATGATTTTCGCGGAAAATATGTCGCGAATTCTCATAAGCGAAAATACGTGTTTGTGACTTCTGGGAATTCATAAAGCGAAATTTCTCGGTACGCGAGTGTAGCGATATTATTTAAGTGGTCTTTGTTTTTTGATAGGAATATCGTTTTATTTATGAAATACCTTCGTTTCTGACGTTCGCTCCTACAATCCTTTTTCTCTTTTTTTGTTGTTAGGGATTGGGTTTATGACATGGACGCCTGGTTACGCTATTTTTGAATGCGCCCCCTTTTTGCTTCGCGTTAATTAAAATTTCCTTTCAAATTGGCGACGAAGCTCGGGAAGCGTTTTATGGCTGCAGAAAATTAAAGTGTCTGCGGGCCCACATACCTTCCTGGTGCCCACTCGTGAACATTCGATAGACATTGACATGTCATAAAACCTTTCGCGTCACTCTCACCGCCCAAAGTCCCGTTACGAGCGAGCTACCCCTTGGGCCTCATTCCCCTGCCATCGCGACATACCACCGCCCTGCCAACTTGAAAATTCCAGGGTGGGCGGTATGCTTGCGGGCCATGGAGGACTGTCCAAGGGGGTAGAATTACACGAGATTGTTGATTGTCATTTTTCGTGTATTTTGTATCTCGTTGATATGTATGAAGGGGCAAGGTCGCTTTTTCATAAAACTCGAAATACGCGTAAATGAATTTCCAGGCTGATGATTTTCACGGAAAATATGTGTTTGTGACATCTGGGAATTCATAAAGCGAAATTTTTCGGTACGCGAGTGTAGGGATATTATTTAAGTGGTCTTTGTTTTATTTATGAAACACCTTCGTTTTTGACGTTCGCTCTTACAATCCTTTTCTCTCTTTCTTTTTTTTTTATTTCTTCAACCTGAAGATTTTGTAGAGCCGCCTGGAGTGAGTGCTCCTCATGCTCTGAAGAAATGTAGGAGACGTCAGTTATTCCGAAGATGGATATTTGGTGTAAAAACCATGCATGGGCATATTCGTGCAGGAAAATTTCCAAAAAACTTCTACAATCCTTTTTTCTCACTTCGCTCTTGTCTTTCGTACTCACTTACACACGGTCACATTCGATCACAGTTTTGTACACGCATTCAGAAAATTTTGCCACGCGCCGATTTTTGGTCACGACGTCGCTCTTATCACGCGTGCATTTCCATTCAGGAGAACTGTCACTCCAAACACTCTTTGGTCGCACTTCACTCGATCCGAGTATCGCTCTTTCAACGTAACATTCTTATCTCACATCCTACGCAAGGTTGACTCGAATTCGCGTTATTATAAGAGTAGCTCGTAGGAATTTTTCATCAGGTTGCTTTTGTTCGTACGACAAATTGGTCGAGCAGCGCGAAAAGGGGATTTCCCGTGCATGTCGAAGATTACGATCGGTAATATCGCCTGTAAATCCCCCCCGTACAATGAACGAGAAACGTATACGCGCGTTGGAATGGTGGCGGACAATTTATTC